CCAAAGACCCAAAACCATAACAACCTATACCTCAACCCTTCCTAAACCCTTACCCTAAGGCTCTAAGGACTCATACCCTAAGGCTTTTGGGCCCAAAGACCGTACTACGCAGGGCCTTTGGTCTATTTTGAGCCTTATAAGGTTGTGTTATGTAGAACCCCCTGAACCCCAAAAAGAATACCCCCCAAAAAAGCCTTAAACTTCCTAAACCCTTTTGTAGAACCCCCTCAACCCCAAACGGATGCTCTTACAAAACAAACCCTAACGCCTGAAGCCTGGGCCGCCAGCATTGCTCGCACGCACATTCCGCGTGGCGCTGGAGGCAGAGCCAGCCTTTCAGGGTGCTTGAGGGCTTTGGGGTTTATAGGTTTAGGGTTTAGGGTTTAGGGTTTAGGGTTTAGGGTTTAGGGTATATAGGTTTTGGGTTTTAGGGTTTATAGGTTTAGGGTTTTAAGGTTTTAGTGAGGGTTTTAGGGTTTACAGGTTTAGGGTTTTAGGGTTTTGGTTAGGGTTTAGGGTTCAGGGTGCTTGAGGGTTTTAGGGTATATAGGTTTAGGGTTTTAGGGTTTTGGTTAGGGTTTAGGGTTCAGGTGCTTGAGGGTTTTAGGATTTATAGGTTTAGGGTTTAAGGGTTTTGGTTAGGGTTTAGGGTTCAAGGTGCTCCAGCGTTTTAGGGTTTGTAGGTTTAGGGTTTTAGGGTATTAGTTAGGGTTTAGGGTTCAGGGTGCTTGAGGGTTTTAGGGTTTATCTTAGCAGTTTAGGCATTTAGGGCTTGAAGGGTTTTAGGGTTTGGGGTTTAGGGTTTTAGGGTTTAGCTTTGCAGTTTAGGCTTTTTGGGTTTACAGATTAGGGTTTGGGGCTTGAGGGTTTTAGGGTTTAGCTTAGCAGTTTAGGCTTTTAATTTTAGGGTTTAAAGATTAGGGTTTGGGGCTTTAGGGTTTGAGGGTTTGGGGTTAAGGGTTTAGGACATACTTTATGGCTCAGCTTGCAAAGAGTTGGGATTTAGGTTTGCGGTTTGAGGGCCTTTTTAGTGGTGGCTGAAGGGTTCTAGGACATGTACTTTAGGACTTGGGTTTCAGAGTGTAAGGTTGAAGGTTTAACCGCCCGCAGAAAACTGAAACCTCAAATCCCAAACCCTGTGCTAGAAAACCGGAGCCCTAAAGTATGTGTCCGAAAACCTGTCAGCCGCCAAAGAGTCCCAAAAAACACCTTAAACCCCAAACCCTTCAAACCCTAGTTTTGTACTGTGTGATAAACTCTGAACCCCAAAAACCTAAAATCCCGAGCCCTAAACTAGGTCTTAAGATCTTTATACCCTAAAGTATGAGCGTAGGATCCCTGAGCCACCAAAGAATCCCGAGAAGCTCCTAGAATCCAGGGAAAGTTTAGCTTCACCCGGCTTTGTAGTTTTAAAACCTATAAGCCCCTAAACCCTAAAACCTAAACCCACTCCAGCGCCGTGCAGACCTCTCGCAGCATCTGCCAACCCTAAACCCTAAACCCTCAACCGTGAACTGCTGGAGGTTCCGGCTCCCGGCGTGCTCTTCTTGGGCTTTAGTTCTTATTATAAGCTTTACCTTAAGAACCCAAAACCTACTTTTTTGTAGGGTCCCTATAAATCCCATATTAAACCCAGCCGTGGAAGCAGCTCGGGTAATTTATGTTTGGATGCATTTAACCCCAAACCCTAAACCCTAAACCCGATTAGTTCTTTGATTTTTTGGCTTTTGGCTTAAACTTCCTGTCGTGCTGGACTTCAGGTTATTCCGAAGGGCTAGGGTGTGGCGGCTGCTGAATCCCTAAACTCTAAAGCCAAAACCCTAAATCTAAAGAACCCCAAACCCAGTTTTTTGTAGTTTCTTATTATATAAAGCTAAGCAAAGAAGCTTACTGGGTAGCGTCCTTGAACTGTTTCATGCGGAAGACGCGGTAGCATACACGGCAGTGGTGCCGGTGTGAAAGGGTTTCCGGCTTGCTTGGGTCCAAAGTAGCACCGCAATGCCCACTGGCGCAATCGATGCAAGACTCCCTGCACTCCAGCCTGTGGCAAAGGGAGACACGAAAAGGACCGTACTGGTACATCACCTCGGGCTCCAGCCGAACAGTAGCCGGATCCAAAGGAGGCAAAGAAAAGCCCGAAGTAACGTTCTCCAGGCAGCCACTGGTTCAAGACCCTCCTGGCCAGCGCAGCGCATTCGAAGCTGGTGTCCTCCGTCGCAATGACGGTCAAGGCGTTCGGCACCCGGCCCATCTGAAATCTTCTCCTGAACAGCCCGTGCATCCACTCGGCGGTCTTGGCTCGGAAAGGGTTTAGGGTTTAGGGTTTAGGGTTTAGGGTTTAGGGTTTAGGGTTTTGAGGGACGGCAGCGCCAAAGCATACTGGGTCAGCTCGAACAGAATGCACAGCAAGCCGCCAGGTAATCGGAAACGAAACCCTTCTAGCATGAAACAACCCTGCTAGCGCAAAACAACCGAACCCTAGAACTAGAAAACCCACACACGCTGTACACAAGCCTCAGCACTAAACCGTAAAGCTTAAATCCATAAACCCCTGAACCCCGAAACCCCTGGCCCCAAACCCCTAAACCCCTAAACCCCTAAACCCTAAACCCTAAACCCTAAACCCTAAACCCCTAAAGCCTAAACCCAAACCATAAAAAGAAGCCCTGAAACCCAAAAGCCCCCTTTCCTCCCTGAAGCAGAAGCCCCCGAAAGCATCGCACCCCGACATCCGATTCGGATCCAACCTGCTGGCTGTGGGGCGCCGCTGTCCTCAGGTTTTGAAGGATCGGATCGTTGAGGGCTTAAGGGTGTACAAAGGGTTTAGGGCTTACGGTTTAGGGTTTAGGGCTTAGGGTTTACAGAGGGTTTAGGGCTTACGGTTTAGGGTTTGGGGCTTACGGTTTACATAGGGTTTAGGGCTTACGCTTTAGGGTTTGGGGCTTACGGTTTACATAGGGTTTCGGGCTTACGGTTTAGGGTTTAGGGCTCAGGGTTTACAATTGATGGCTTAGGGTTTACATAGGGTTCAAGCGGCGTAGGGTTTATCGGATCAGGATCTGGGTATGATTTACGCGCTTAAGCGGAGTTCGCTCTGGCATGCGCTTGCTTGGGCTATGTAACTTTGAATGGGGGCTATGTATCTTGACTTAAAGTCATGGGCTTGAGCTGCAGATGCTCTTTCGGCCAACAAAAACACCAGAAGCTTACAAACGCTTGATACGCGAAACCGCTTCACTGTACATCCTGCAATCCTGCGTCCTACAGCCAAAATGCCTCAAACATGCAATCGCCAACCCCTAAACCCTAAACCGGAACCGAATCTGCTTCAACGAGCAGCCTCTGCCTTTTGCCATCGGCCCCTCAGCAGACTTGGTGTCCTTCTTCGGCTCCGCTGCCAGGTCAACCCAAAGCGGTGTAGCGTAGGGGCCTTAATAGAATTAGAATAGGGTTTTGGAGCCCATTATACTACATATATATATATATACACACCCTAAACCCTAGCCCCAAGCACACGAATATCGGAGCGTTAATATCGATTAGGAATTTTGGAGCCCATTATACTATTTATATGTATATATATATATATATATATATATATATTAAACAACTCCGAAAATAGTATTGGTAATGATATAGGCCCCTACATTATGAAGATACGCGTTCCGGGTGCAACTGCCCACGCATCCGCAAGGCACTTCGCTCATACAACTTGGTTGCTTTGCCCAAACCGCTCTGTCGACGTGCACGTGGTGGCGGCTCTAATCAGAAATCACGAGATTCCATGAACTCCTCCTCTTCGCGGCGGTTGGACTTAAACCCTGAACCCTTAACCCTACACCCTTGGGTGGCTTATTTCTCATTCGATTCGCAACTAGGCTCCGCCTTCAACCACTCAGCCTGACAAGCTGGGCCCGGGAGATCAGCCAAAAGAGATGAAGTCCCGATTCGATTCTCATTCCCTTGGCATCAATATTAATTATTCTTTATTATTATTAAATATTTATCATTAATTAGTATTAATTACTATAATTATTATTAATTACTCAAAATAGCCGAAAAGCCTCTTATAATAGGGTCCTTGGGCCCAAAAGCCTTAAAAAATGAGTCCTTTGATGGTAAGGGAGTATTTTCTGAGGAGTAAGCGAGATGCTACTTCACGCTGTGCTTAGGGGGTTTAGGTTGGGGGATCAGGGGTTACGGGTTACGGGTTCAGGGTTTATAATCCACACAGGCTACACTACATGCTGGAAGCTGAGAACTCTTGCAGCGACCCTAAAACCTGAAACATCAACACTCGCGATCCTAAACCCTGTGAGCACATACCCCAGAAATTTTCACTCGAATCGTGACCCCCAACGAAATCTAAAGTCTAAACCCTCAGTCGAAACTTCCACCTATACAGAACAAGTACTAGACACAAATTATATACATATATATATATATATATGTATATATATATATATATAAATATATTCATAAACACAGCCAAACCCACCCCGATCTCGTGCATCCGAAGGCACGCTGTGGTGGTGCCGGCCTGTCTGTTGCGCTGGGCCAAGGGTGACGAAACTGGCGCTTACACCCAAAACTCGTCCCTGCAAAGGTTAACCCTAAGGCTCTAAGGACTCATATTCTAATGCTTTTGGGCCCAAAGACCATACTGTATAGGGCTTTTGGGCTATTTCGAGCATTAGGGTGAAGGTTTTGAGGGTTCGGGGCTATAAGGTTTCATTAGCAGCAAGCCCTAAACCATAAACCCTAAACCCTAAACACTACTAAATCCGAGACCCGAAAAGGGGATTGCAGTTTTTAATGGTGAACTCTACAGGTCCGGGGTCATGTTGGAGGTTTCAGTTAAGGTCTCGGTATGCGATTAACCGTGTTTGCTCAGAGTCGTTTTGTGCTTCGAGAAGGGGTGCGCCGGGCAGCACAGAACGGTTCGAGAGATGTAGCAATCACAATGTAATGTGGGAGCCTTAATAATTACCTATACTGTTTTGGGGGGGTTCCTTATCATGATTATAGTATAATATACCCCCAAACCCTGTTCTAATTATTATTAAGGCCCCTATACTATAGGGACTCTGAGGATGTGCTGTTACCAATTCTTCCGAGCCCTATTCCACAAATTTCCAAAACAAAATCGTTTGGGCTTCTGTAACCCTAAACCCTAAACCCTAAACCCTTACAAGAACCCTTACGGAACCCAACCCAAGACCTCGCATAACTCGCAAACCCCAAGCCCCCACAGCCAATAGCCAGGCCGTGGTATGATTCCTTGAGCCCCTATCCAGTTTAGGGTTTAGGGTTTAGGGTTTAGGGTTTAGGGC